TGTGTTTTTAAAGTATTCATGAATGAAATGTTTTTCTATCTGTGCTTAATAGTCTGAAATCTTTCTAAATATGTTGTATTATGAATGAAATTCATGCAGTCGGCACGCAGAAATATTTACCTGCGAGACTCTCGCACGAGACACGAGAAGTCTTGCACGAGACTCGAGACGAGACCAATAAAAGTCTCGCCTCGAGACCATGCGAGACCATCGAAAACGAGACTCTCGCTGGCACCACTAATCTAATCACAGTGAAAAACAAAAACAATATCATATTCTATACGAGTATCTTGATTGTTAAAAGTAAAAACAAAATTAATGAAAAGGTTTAAATTAAACGCTCAAGAAATAATGAAATGAAATGTTCCTTTATAATTTTAACTATCAACTTATAACCCCATTGTACACAATTTATCTATAGGGTTGCGTCATTGATTTTCTAATTTTCAGGACAAAGTAGTTGAAAATGCAATACAATCAATTATAAATCAGGATAAATGGAAATATTTTGAAAAACGTTAGTTTATGCACTTCAGGGAAAAAAAGGGTGCTTCAAATCCCCCATTTGGGCATTCTTATGGTCTGTTCATAAAATCTCATTCATATTCAACAAGCTCTATTTCCCATAAGAGATGGACTAAATTGAATATATGTTGAATGACATTCTATGAACGCATCCAAGTGAAAGGAATGCTTGAACTCAAGATACGGTAAAATTAAATATGAATTATTTCATTTATTATCAGGGAATACAGCTGAAACTGTAATTTCCTCTCAAACGGCATGGTAATGCTTTCAAAAGGCACATCACTTTTTGATGTCAACAAACAATATGTTAACCACCCATCAGTCAGCAAAGTTGGCATTATGAAACTCCACCGCCGCCTACGGATATTTTCTTGGTTGATCTCACCTAACAACCGCTTCATGAACAATTTATGATACGTCGCTGGCGCGCTTTCATCGGATCTATTCGTGCTATCGTTGAATGATACAATAGTGGGTAGAGAGGAGGTTAAATTCTATAAGGGTTTACGGTGGTTGAACATCGCCTATGAGAATGGCATAGAAAGGTGCCCTAACAACACGAGTACGTCCCAGGGACGTTCCAGGGACGTCCTTCATTTTCTACGAGGACGTCCCTGGGATATCCTGTGTCGGGACATGGTACATACTAGGGAGGTCCCAGGGACATCCGCTTTCCACAAAAAGAGGCATCCTAGGGATGTCCTTCTGGTACGTCCCTGGGATGTACCAATTACGAAGAAAGGATATTCCTAGGACATCCCAAGGATATCCCAGGGACATCCCTTCGACAAAAGAAAAAAATGTAGGTCGAGTACGGATTGAACCCGGGACCTTTGGCTTATCAGGCACGCATCTTTGAGTTTGTCGCGTGATTCACTTGTGTGAATGAGCTAGTACTCATTTAATTATGTAAAATCTGCTGAAATAAAATTTTTTAAATTACAATTTTATTAAATATTGATCATCGCGACAAGCTTTTATGCGATCATATAAATTGGGTATAATGAGGTTATAAGTTGATAGTCAAAATTATTAAGAAAAATTTTATTTTCTTCTTTCAAGAGCGTTCAAATAAAAGCTTTTTATTAAGAAGTTTTTCATAACTGTTAATTTTTAATTTATTTTTTAATTTTTAGTTATCGCAAGCTGGATTTTTCGATTCACTCTCAACGAGCCTTTTCATTTGATACCCATATTGTAGAAGTATATTGAAAATAGCTATTTCGCCATCTTGGATGGTCCGCCATATTGGATTTAGAATAACGTCACATCATTTTTCGAATTACTCTCAACGAGCCCTTTCATTTGATACCCATATTGTAGAAGTAGATTAAAAATGACCATTCTGCCATCTTGGATGGTCTGCTACATCCGATTTAGAATGACGTCACAGCATTTTTCGAATTACTCTCAACGCGTATGAAAAACAAGGCAAATATGATTGCCGATTCGAAAAGAAAAACAATTGAAATTTAAATATAAAAAAAAGTGCCCCGGGTGAGGATCGAACTCACGACCTTAAGATTATGAGACTTACGCGCTGCCTACTGCGCCACCGAGGCCTGTTAACAACTGTGTCGAATGATGTTCTTGGGCCTTGCAGCATACATATAAGCATTTGTCATCTTGTTTGATCAATGATTCACAGTTATATAGGCTCTTGATGCAAACCCATGCATGTACTTCAGGACGAAAATTTCGACAACACGACAATTACGAATACTTCCCCTCTTGAATTCAATTCATTATTTAAAATCTGAATCTGAATTCAAATATACCTAGAATGGACACATTTTTGATCGAATGAAAAAATCTTCCGTGTCCCTTTCAGTGCTTTCATAAATCTGAGTGCTTCAGTTATTAGCAGGGTTGATGGAATGATAAAGGTGAGTTTTTTCGATGTATTTCGACCGAAATTCAAATATTTTGCATTCAACATTTCTTTTTTTTTGATACCATGAAACTTTAAAATTGTCAAATAACTTCCAGAGCTTCTCTATAGAATGTGGCCTAAAAACTTATTGTGAACAAAAATGTTCAGGTCATGAAATTATTTGAATGATTTTACTGGTAACATTTTGTTTTCCTGTACGCATCTGTGATAACTTGCCTAGTTTTCGAAATACAATGGTTTCAGAAAGTTTTAGAAACATTATCAATTGAATTCCAAAGATCATTGGTGGAAATTATGGGAAGTGAAATTGTATATCAGTCGAAATTCCACCTTTCTGGAAGACAACATTCCTGAAAAATGAATAACTACAGCAAGAAGGTCATGCAACTATCCATATGATCGCCCATCAAGAGTAGTAGAGTTCCCTACCTATGATTATAACATTGCCCTATTCCCATTATTAGATGCACTCACTAGCAGTAGGTATACCTATAAGACAGAAACATCGTCTAATAGCAATATACAGATGCCCTCGCTAGTGGCAGCAAGGTTCTATATCCAATACTCGCAGGCGAGTTATGATCAGCAAAGTCGACTTCAAAATCATAGGTGATAATTGGCTTGTCCCCTATGCTATTAGAGTTTCTTGCTGGGGTAATTCGTTATCTGACTATGGTTTATAGGAATTTCCCTCAATGTAGGTATATTATTTGACTAGCAGTCACCCTGATAGAATGATGTTATTTAATGTTTCTTATAATCATATAATTTGTATAAAGTGTCTATTGTTCGTCTTCAATTTCTGATTCTGCATCGGTATGTTTTATTTTATAGGATAAAACATGCCAATTATAATTGGCTAGACAGCCTCCAAACAGTGTTGCTATTCTAGTACACTTTCATCAGTAGGTACATTTGCCATTTTTGAACTTCCTCAACCAAAGTTCAATTATTGATACCTTATTTTCTATATATACTTGCCATAGAAGTTATCTGATATATGCATTCTGATCTGACAAATGGAAAAAGTATAACAAAACTTCGTTTGTCAAAGACAAATTGTTGGCTTAGTTGAGCAAACTTCATCATGATGTATAACCCAGAAAAGATATTAAAATCCGCTTTATTCGGATTCACTTTCAAGCGAAAAACTACCTGATACCACCGATAATAAAGAATGAAACATTCAGAACTTATATATCTTGCACTGTTCTCCAGTTATTTTTTCAGAAATGAATTATCATTTCGAAATTGTTGCCGAGAACAAGAGGGGCAACTTTGAGATCCTGATTTTCGGATTATTTTTGTCATTGTTGACTCTCTCAAGGACACTTCGTTCTAAATAAGGATTTTGTTGTGGTAATCTTGCCTTCATCGGACATAAAGTAATAGTGCTGATTAGGTTGAAAAGTTGAGGAAACTATTTCCACTCAATTGGTGAAAAAATGTGTCATACCGACTTCTCTTCCAGGGCTCCAATACCAGCCAGGCTAATCAGAAACGAGGGAAAAATGTTGACAACATAAATATGGACTTGGCAACAATTCTAGAATGGGGATCCAATAACTCGGTAGATTTCATTGCAAACAAAACAATAGCATGCCTTTTCTCTAGGAAAGCCGCGGCGCGATCTAACTGTGCCCAACACAAGCCTGTCAGGAGTAATCATGCCTTTGAAGATATCGATTTCGATGCTTGGTATCACTATCAGCAATAACCTTTCTTGGGAAAATCACGTGAGATCAATTGCTTACAGTGCATCTCAAAAAACTTGGTTTTCTGTTTCGGACCAGGAGCTATTTCACTTTCAGTCAGCGGCTTATGATCTATAAGGCACAGATACGACCTGTCCTAGAATACTGTTTCCATATCTGCAGTGCAGCACCCAAACATACCCTGAAACTGTTGGATTCTGTCCAAAAAAGGGCAATACGTCTCGTGGGTGATGCCTCGCTCACAAACTCACTCACTTCTCTGGAACACCGTAGACAAGTTGGCGATCTGGCCCTATTTTATAGATATTTTCATGGACGATGATCTCCTGAAATATCAACAATTGTTCCTCCATTGGCAGTCCCCGCGAAATTAACCCGCCGAGTTGAGGCTTCGCACCCCTTCGTGGTCACTTTGGAGACCTGTAGAACTTCTCTTTTCAAAGACTCGTTTATCCAACGAACAGCGAGGCTGTGGAACACATTGCCAAGGGAGGTGTTTCCCGAGGCTATACCCACCAGAAATTTAAGAAAAACACCAATTCCCATAAAAAAATGATACGATTTATTTTCTCCATCTGAGCTGTTTGCATGCAGGAAATAAAACATGTTCATAGAAGTCCGAAAATATCTAGGATATGAACAGTATATGAGCTGACCTATCAGCCCTTCAAGGAATGCCATTGACCTTTGGGACAGCCTGTATAGATATTTGAAAAGTGTCATCATACTTTGAGATTCCACGCATATATTGGAACATTCGTGCTTGTTTTGATGAAGGTTTGATCATTATTCTTGACACATTCGTTATATGGAAGATATATGATTGCTGCAAAGATAACGAGAAATATATAAATGAATACCCACATATATACCGTCAACATTTCGAAAGTGAATTGAGGGTATGTTGAAACAAAATAATTATTTAATTGTCCTAAACTTTATTCTAAACTGTTGGCATGTTGTGAAATGATTATAGGTAGAGTTACTTGAAGTATAAACTTGATACTTTGGGATTGATGATGTTTTTGTAACCTCTAGGGATAATCTGACAAAAACTGACAGTCAGACATTACGACAAGTAAATAGATGAGAAAAGCAAGAATTGATAGTTCACGAACGTACGCATGACAATTTCGGAGGTTTATCCAAACTCAGAACAATTTGGAGAAATAATATAAGAAGCAAGAATCGATTTAGTTCATCTGAATATTCATCAAATAAAACACTCTTACGAATATGAAAAAAAAAAACATAATTAAGTGACCGGCGTGGAATATACAGTGTGTCCCACTTACCATGCTCACCATGGGTATGTTTTTAACGGTGAGAGATAGGAGGTCCGTTGAATGACACCAAATGTGGAGTTTGTCAAGACCAACTATAATGTGAAAAAATATTTTGATAAAATCTATTCGTTTTTGTTTTATACGCAAAAAAGAGTTTTTGATCAATTTCATTTCTCCTTTGTAACTTCTTTATTTATGAAAATATTCGAATAGGAATTTCACTATCTCATGGCAGTTTTTCGAAGTGATTTCGAAAAAAATATGAAATTTATACCAACTCTTCTAGAATTTGGGATATCAGCCCAAACTTTAGTTTTCCAAATGTAGGTCATAGCTCACTATGACTCAGTTACAAATAACTTTTTTTTCTCTTTCAGATGATATGTCGCAGTAATAGTTTTGTGTTGATTACAACGGAGTTATCGTCATTTATACAAAAACAAAAAATTTTTGGAAGCCGCCATCTTGAATTTATAAATTTCAACAAAAAAATCATGATCTCCGACCTCAAAAACCCCCACTCACCAATTCTGAATCGAATCGGACCAAATCTTGTCCGCCATCTTGGAGCAGCCATTTTTTTTAATTTCAACAAAAATTCCATAACTCCGATTAACTTGAAATTATGCAGGTGTTAATAATTTCGGTGACAATACATTATGGAATTTTTGTTGAAGTTAAAAAAATGGCTGCTCCAAGATGGCGGACAAGATTTTGTCCGATTCCATTCAAAATTGGTGAGTGGGGGTTTTTGAGGTCGGAAATCATGATTTTTTGTTAAAATTTATAAATTCAAGATGGCGGCTTCCAAAAATGTTTTGTTTTTGTATAAATGACGATAACTCCGTTGTTATCAACACAAAACTATTACTGCGACATATCATCTGTAAGAGAAAAAAATATATTTGTAACTGAGTCATAGTGAGCTTTGACCTACATCTGAAAAACTGAAGTTGGGGCTGATATCTCAAATTCTAGAAGAGTTGGTATAAATTTCATAATTTTTTCGAAATCACTCTGAAAAACTGTCATGTGAATTTGAAATTCCTATTTGAATATTTTCATAAATAAAGAAGTTACGGAGGAGACATGAAAATGATCAAAATCTGTTTTTTGCATATAAAACAAAAACGAATAGATTTCATCAAAATATTTTTTCACATTATAGTTGGCCCTGACAAACTCCACATTTGGTGTCATTTAACCGACCTCGTAACTCTCACTGTTAAAGAGATACCCATGGTGAGCATGGTAAGTGGGACACACTGTATAGGTTCAGCAAAAAAAATTTGCAAAGTATTTAATTTATCTGGTAGAATAAGGAATAGTATCTATCATATTCATATTATTTGCATTCCAGACCTGAAATTTCGATAATCAATAACAGAATTGTATTGAAAAAAAAACTGAAGATGAAATATAGAGAAAAATCAACTGATTTTCAATGAAAATGTCACGAGACACACAACAAAAATCCATTTCAAACGAATTTCGAATGAAAAAGACTATGGATATTCGAAAATATAAATCTGGAATGATCCTATCATCGAGGATCACTATATTGAAAAAGAATTAAGCATTCAGGAAATATATAGAATAGAATGAAGAGAGTTGGAAAATAGATTGAAATATAAAGATTTAGATTCAAATCAAAGTAAAATTCAAGTATTACCTATAAGTTATGCCAGATTTTCAACAAAATCTACATAAATCGTCATGAGAATGCAAGAAAACTGAAAATGCAAATAGGTATTCAGACAATAATTGTTTTCACTGTTGAAAAAATCAAAAGGGAGAATGGAAGTTGCCACCAGTTTTTTTACCGAATTCATCCACTATTTTTTCAGTAACCACTGTATGAAATGACATCGGCATTATAGACGAATCTGGTATTGATTAATAGAAAATATATTGATTGAATGAAATCATTCAAGAATTACCAACTCAATCTCCATGATTTTTCCCCATAACGTTTTCCTATTTTGGAATAATTCATATTATTTTTCAGGAATCAACTACTTCTAGAATGAAGATTTTGTTTTCCCTATTTGTAATGCTCAGCATTTCTTCTATATATGCTCAAATGGATGTATCTGTGAGTATCAACGTGACAACATGATGAGACCAATAATAATAGCCCGATATGAATACTGGTCGGCATATGGTTATGCATATACATATTATGACTTCGATTCAATCACATTAACTATAACAAAAGCTACTACCCTGGCATCAGCCAGGGTAGTAGCTTTTGTTTGCCTTCATTTAATATTCCGTCGACTTCAAATGTTCGATTTTTGTATATTCACCAACAATTGTGGTATTGTCAACCAAACATACACCGTGTTATTTCACTGTTGAAATTGTCAGAATCTGCATTAAAATCGGCAATATGAAATTCATCTGAGATTTCGAGTTAACGAGTCAGCATTCCTGAACCGAATTTGAATTCTGTTTTATAACATAAAAGGAATGTATTCTCCATATTGATAAATTATACGAATCTCAAATGTCAGTGGCAAGGTAGCCGCGTATTAGAAGCGTTAGTAATATAATCACGATGTCTTGCCGGGCATGGGTTCAAATTTCCGACTGCAAAAAATTTTCTGACGGCCCAAGTAAGTGTTTGGGATCACACGTCTAAAGGTATCAAGCCCCTGTCATTCCTAGCTTGCACAAGTCTCTAGAAGACTACTGAGAGTTGCTCGTAAGGGGGCAACCGAATGACGGATGAAACAATTTTAGAACAATTTTTTTAATTCTTAGTTACACTGGATGATTGTTATATAGTCGTTGTTAATACTTTTACATTTTCCAGATGAATAATGAATTCGCGAGCCAAATTTTCTTAATTTCAGCAGAAATGTAGTCGACAGAAACATTTTCATCTACTCACTGCATCGAAAGTAAGCGTTTGCTCCCTCATTTGAGGACATAAACCTGTCAATCTAGTCCCACGGCAGGAAAAGGAATATTACCTTCTGTGGGAGGTTAAATAAATTGGCTTCAGCTTGCTTCCTTGGTAGAGATATACGTATAGGAACTGTGCTACCCAAGCAGTTGATCATTGTCTCCATCACTTCTATAAAACAAATAACATTTTAATTTCTGAACTCTGATGAGCTCAGGCACTTCCTCACATTCCAAACTTACTCGATCAAAACTCCGAATGAAATTCAATTACACCATAAATTAATTCAATGTGACAGAAGTGTCAACTGTCGAATTGATTTTCGTTCAGGTTCAAATACCTTAGATTGATTGATTCGAATCGAGACTCGGGAGATATACCACTTGTAGCATAATTTTTAGCACGACACTTTCAAATATATGCGTTTGTGGATGAAAGCATTTCCTCCCATGTTGTTTCATCAAACTTCACACGCGGGGGGAAATGAATACCTTTTTGCTCCCTTGATATATAAATAGCTTGATCATTCATCTCGTATATATTTGGCGATTGATGATCTCTGTTACTCTGTTGCATAGATTTTGAGTGGATATTCAATATCCTGCGTGGCATCAGCCAGGGTAGTAGTTCACTACAATGTTTTACCACTAAACAAACCGTTTTTTGAATTTTTTGGTTGGGTGGACATACCTAGTATATGAACAAATAAGTAGCACACTAGAATAGGATATCTAGTGCTATTCTTTGGCTTGAATAATTCAATGAATGAGTTACAGAAAAATTTCGAGATTCGATTGTTTCAATAAATATCCAATCAGGTGCTTCAGGTGCTTATTCTACATTATTATGAAGTCATTATTACTTTTCATTTGTTTCTGACAAGTACCTAAGTTTTGTGTTCTGTTAGTTAATTGGTGTTGGTATGGTTTTTTTCTCCTTCATGGAGAAATAGAAATAAATATACCTCCAATTGGAACGTTTTATAATAATAATAATAATAATAACTATATGGGAAATCCATAGCCCACTATTGATATTCGATGTTTAAGTGATTTTGGAGCATTTTTGGAAATTACATATTCATACATTTTGTATCACTGTGACGGCAATGAAATGAGGAATTCAATCAGTTCCTGAAATACAGGGTGATTCATTCGAAAAATGATAAGTTCGAGTCATATCTGCGAAACCATACCCCGAAAAAGAATTTGGAGCGCACGATGAGATTTTAATTCAATATTTCAGCTAGGAAAATTCGTAGATATGAGAGGGGTTCAAACAGTATGAATTTACAAAATCGCCCTGCATCTCATAAACGGAAACAGTACTGCAAAATTTGGTTGGGCCATCCTGAGAAGCAGGAGAAAGTGGCACAGGAACGCAAAAACCGCAAGGTTGTATCTCCAAAGATAATTGAGATATCACGTAAGAGCATCGAAAACGGGACACCTTGTGAACGAAATAATATAATCGTTAATGACCCCTATTAACGATCAATTTGTTTATCAACGAACGATTATGGTATAGGCAACCAATCCATACACCGCGTCGTTTCACTGTTGGAATTATTACTTTCGAGATCTGCATTCGAATTGAAAATACCGATGATTCCATCAAAGATTTCCAGAGAACGAGTTAGCTTGTTACCATTTCTGAACCGATTTTGAACCCTGTTTTCTAATACAAAAGGCATGTATTTTTTCATGCTGATAATTTCGGCAAATGTCGAAAGTTATTGGCAAGTTTATACTAATGGCAACTGGGTGATTGTTTGTAGTTTCCAAATTTCCTTCATTGCAGGAGAAATAAAGTCAGCATAAATTTTCTTAACCAACTCGTATATTAGAGTGGGGATCATTCCATGAGTCAACATATTATTTCATATGGGATGAAATAAAATACGGGTCAATTTGTTGAGAATGAAAAGTTCAATTGAGATGGGTAACCGTCAACTATATATATAAGAATATAATTAAACGGTTTTTGAAAGCTTTTTGTGTTTCCTCTCGTCTCGCCTCGCCCCAAAATTCGGAAGAAAAATCCTTCTCTCTTCTTGTCGAGACTATAAACCTGACGAAACGAGAGACATTCCGTGCTTCGAAAAGCTGTGTCGGGTTTTTGAGTGATAATGCGTATCTCCTTCAGGATTACGGGGTAGCTCTGGATAAAGTACACACAGAAATGCATGACAAATGTACAAAGGATCACCCAGTAACCCATGCTGATATTTGGAGAGTGAAAATTGGGATTTTTGACGACAACAACGAGGAAATGAAGGTGAGAATATGATAAGAATTTAATCATTGGTAATATCATTGATGTGGCATATTATCAATCATCTGAGGAGATGAGTATACAGGGTGTTCCATGAAGTGTGGGCATTCTCTCAGATGTGTATAAATAATTGGGTTTTTCATGTAACATGTTCTTCATGACGGCGCTTGATGAGTCCCAATTCTCCTGTGCACGCGTGATATTTTCTTTCTCACGCACACATTGAGTGCTGAAAAGTAAATATCAACCAAATTGATCTTGTTATACGACGCTATACATAGTGGAGTATACTACGGCCTTGCCAAAAATGCTATATCGGAAACTAAGCGAGATAGAGGTATAGTTACTTTGGAGAAAATGATCCCCATCGAATTTTGAGCAACTTTGGTTCTTGAGTGTGGTCTGTCTGTCTGTCTGTGTGTTAATCATAAATCGATATATCTCCGGAACCCTTCGACATATCGACTTGAAATTTTGCCATCTTATTGTACTCAAAACAATATTCTGTCATTAAAATATGAAGGAAATCGGAAAACTCTGAGGTGGTTTTTCCGGGTTTTTTCGATTTTTCACCGAAAGTTTCTTGCGACCACTCTACAAATCGCAAAAGTGGTCTGATCGATTTTATTTTTAGTGAAAAATAACTCTATCAGGAAGAGACGAAGCCTATTGAAATTGAGCAGGGTCGGGAAATTCCAAGTGGGTTTTTCAAAGAGATTTTCCGAAAAACACGGTTCGCTTTCAAACGACATATCTCCTGAACCTATAGACTAAATCGAAATTTGAAAAATGCACCGTATGCCTCTTTGATGACGCAACAAATTATTATTTAACCATTCATCGGAAAATGGAGAAACAAATGAAAATCAGAACATCAAAATTTGAAATCCTTTCAATTCAATATATATCGAAAACAAATGGAAAAGTCGAGAATTATCAGAAGTGCAAAGTTATCCACTGGAATATTTCCTACAAATCTTCTCCCATATTTTTTTCTGTTAACCCAATAGTACAGGAAATAAAGTGAAAAATATGAAAAAAAAAATTTAACGACCCATAGGGTACTATGAAGATATATTGAAAAACAAAGATTATCGATAGATGAAGCTCATCGACTTCCACTGAACCATGAACTATTTTTTCATTTTGTTGATTGGAAGATGGAACAAAAGTGTTGAAAATCTTATTCTCAGATAATTCCAATTATCTCGAAAACAACTGAAAATATCTGGAAATGTTATAGAACCAAAATTATTCCTTCTGATAAAATCTACAAAAAATCCGGATAACATTTTTCTCTGAATTCAATAGTTCGTGAGATACGATGAAAAAACTAAAAAATTTACAAGTTCCTAGATAATCACTTGCCACTAGAAAACGAAACAAAAAACAAAAGAAAGTAAAAAAAGCACACTCGACTGTCTTGATTTTTTTTCTCATAAACTACGTACCTAGCTCACTCGACTGTCTTTATTTTTCGCCAATAAACTACCCGGTAAACATTTTTTCTGCGGAAACATAAATGAAATATCAATTTTACGTCATATAAGTGATGGTCAACATCAAACATACGTATCCAAAATACGTATTTTCTGAGGCGATAAGTCCCAACTTTCAGCGTGGTATAAACGTCAATTCAGTATAGTCTTATATGCATCCTCATTATAACGTTTTCTATCAGACGATCAACAAACATACCATATTATACGTCAATTGATAGATTGAAAATGAATATCCACAAAGAAATGGTTTTCTCAGAGGCGATAAGTCCCAACATTCAGAGTCGTATATACGTCAACTTATCATTGTCACATTTCCATCTTTGAAATAACGTTTGATATTAGATGATTCACAAGAATATTAAACAATACGTAAATTTCTAGACAGAAATTATCTGTCTGGAATTAAATGGTCTTTTCTGGGGCGATAAGTCCCAACTTTCAGCGTAGTATAAACGTCCTTTTTCATTCGTCATATTTTCATCTCCAGAATAACGTATCGTATCGGATGAATAGAAAAGATATTATACTATACGCAAAGCAGGAAATTGAGGATATATGTACCAAATAAAACGATCTTTTCATAACCATTATATTCACATCTTGAAATGTTCCTAACATGCTGGATTTAATACAAACGTATAAAAAAATATGTCGAGTAATAGATTGAAAATCAATGTCTAATAAGAATGGCATTTTTTCGATATAATTACAAACGTCATCGTTAATTCATTATAATTCGATTCTAAGAATGACATGAGATGTCATTAGTTCAATCAATATATTTACATCATGAAGCTGACGTACGCATTATGACAGATGATTTTGATATTGTACTAATACTGAATTTGCCATCAGATCGAAGACTGTTTTCTGATCAATTTCGTGGACTCGGTATTGGAAGAAACGATGGTCAACAGTCGTCATTCCTGCAATAAAATATATTTCGTTATGTTAATGATTCATAATAACCGTCGAAAATAGAACGCAAGTTTTTCATCATATTTACATTAGGAAACTAATGTAAGTATAATTACAGATTGAAAATATATTGTTGATATTTAACTCACCTCATCGGTACTCACACATCATATTTATCTTCAGTCTGGATCAGAAATTCTCCTCAGATTTCGAGACTAGTGGGTTTGAGAGATGTTCGAAGAGAGTCAGTATTGTAAGTAACGGGGGCAAATGATTTGAAGCCGTCATTTCTGCAATTCAATCTATTCTGATTCAATAATAATCCACAACACCTATCTGAAATAAAACAAGCAACAATCATTATTCATACTACTCACTTTATGGAATAACATATAGAGTAAATGGACGTATGTGTCGATTTCTTAGCATTGTAGCCTCTCTAACAAAAATTTACCTCTCACTCCAAGTCTCTGAGACTGGTCCCAAAAATGTTTTTTTCTGGTCCATTTTGTAGCAAGCCATTGAACGTAATAAGGGCCAATTGTTTGAAGCCATCATTGCTGAAATTTGATGAATTATTATGTTACAAAAATAATTCAAAATATTAGTCCGAACTGAAGCGAGTTTCATCCATCATATTTACATCATGAAACTAATGTAACGTAACTATTTTGATATTTCTGTACTTACATCCGTAATGTATCGGTTTCTTCTTTTTTCAAAAAATGATCTTCGATTCCAAGACTGTTATAAAAAGGGTTGCTTTTCGATTCATCCTGTTGAGAAATTCTGACGAGGGCCAATTTTTTTAAGTCTTCGTTCCTGCAATTGAATTAGGGTATAGGTTATCCTCACGGACAGAGACAGGAATATCTCTTAGATAGGTGAACTCAGGTTATAACTAATTAATGTATACGTACAGCAATATGAAATGAATAACCATTTGGTTTATGGAGTTATACCCACTACATATCATCATTCACACTGAGTATGAGTGAAATACCATTATATCTCAACTGATCTACCTGTTATCGCCATTTTGAAATGCCTGTTCTTTTCGGCTGATTCCATTTCAATCATTATCATTTATTGTTTACTATCATCAGAATAGGTGGATGATATTACTTAGGTAATGCCGAATGATTTCGATAATCCCATACTTCACATTCACAACATACCTACACACCTATGCTGTATCACGTTTGAACAGGAATAATAATACATATCAGTGGAAAGCTGAACGTCGATTGTCGGTAGCTAACACTCGCCAACTGGAAAAAAAACGGGGGTTTGTTGATCGTTGATCAAGGAGCATTCTGATGTCATGACGTAATTGTGCGATGGATACACAATTATACAACCAGTGTTGCCAGTTATTTTTTGTTGTTCGGAATATTCACTTTCCAGAATAGGTTTCTCAATGTTTTCCACATCAAGCTTGATTGCTCAATGACACTATATGTAGGTACCTATTTTCATTGGTATCAAGATTGTGCACCTTCTCAGTATCAAAAAGTATATCAGCTGAATAATTTTGAGGGACAATTTGTATTCCAGATACCTAACCATTCGAACATTATTATTCGATTATCTATACCTATACCGATTCAATATCTCGTTTCCATATATCAGTAGCTATACTATCAAGTACCTACTAGTGAATATTATATAACTATTGAAAAAATGTCCAATGAGGAATCGGTTTCTTGTAAAGAATGCAGAGTATCCATCAGGTAACTTGGTATATATTACAATACTCAATTTAAATATTGATCATGATATATTTCCAGAGATAAGTTACCCGACATTGCCAGGGCAATAATATAATAAGGCAAGATCCGCGTTCAAACCACCAGTTGGCAACACCGGCAGACATCACTTTACCCAGCGGTCATTTATAGGTCATTCATCTTGTTTCCATTGAAAGCACTCCTTCATTTTCGACATATTTTCGTTATAAAAAGGAATTTATTTGAGAAATAAACAATAGGTCTATGGAAATAAAGCTCTTGTGAGGTTGAGTCTCGATATACTTTTTGAAAACCTTCAATAGGTTTTTGTGAAGTTCTTACATCTATATATTTATTATGCTTCGAATGGTCATAATTTTATCATGAAATTGACCGTCTTCACGAATATGTATTGAGGATCGTGTATTTATGTACAATTATTGTAATAATATTCCTAGTAGATATTTTGCTTGAAGTAAAATTGAACGTTGAAGGGGTAGGTGATCGGCAATGATTATAAGCAAATTTTAAAAGATATAGGATATTTGATCTTGACAAAATCAACATCCAAAGTGTATTTTAAACATCATTTTTTATCATTAACATCAATATAACATATCATGAAATGGGTATACCGCAACAACTTTCTTAGAATGGTATCAATTCGATCATGAAATCGATTGTCTTGACGGGAATATTGAAGGTCTCAACATTAAAAATTCAATATTTTAGTGGAAACGTTGAAGGGGCAATATTTGTGAATATATATTAATAAATGTGATCTAAAATATGATCTTCGCTTTGATGATATATTTGTAATGGACATTTTTGATTCCATCATTTCAAATAAGGA